AGCCATGAGGAGGAGGTGGCCATGAGGAGGAGGTGGCCATGAGAGACGTCATGAGAGAGTTGCCATGAGGACACAGATGGCAGGGTGAGACTAGATAGCAGGTGATAGGCCATATGGCTGGGAAATAGTCTAGAACAACATAGTTGGGTTAGAATAGTATCTGCCCAGCTATAGTGAGTTAAAGCTTATTAATAAATGTAGCAGGTCTCCATGTAGCTGGCAAAGAAAAACCATACATTTAATTTTACTATCTTACTATTTCTACTTCATCACCAAGTAGCTGACAAGAGGCAAGTCACTGACATGAGTGCTGAAGGAAGTCTTGTTCCTGCCAGGTGTATTTCCTGCCACATTTGCTTATCAGTGGGTTGCGAAAATCCAGACCTAGAGTTACACTGGAGTTGACAAGGCAAGCTTGAACAAAGTGATTACATTGTCTCCTAGAAGTCACATGGTGACAAATAATCAATGAACCTCCCAAACTCAAAAGCTCCCCCAAAGTCTTGATTGCAGTACATAGGTCAGGACTGACTGAACAACCTGCTGCAAAGTTTTATAAGCAACCTCTAAATTGCCTGTTTTTAAAATACATCTCAGGGTAGCCTCTCATAGTCTTTTTCATAGCTACAAGAAAATCCCTGAATCAGGATTATTCGTAAAGGACAGGAAAGCACATCTTCACAGTGTTGAACCTCTGTAAGCTCAAGATGACACAGCAGCAGGGTCACTGTCTATGGAGCCCTGCATCTTCTGTGTGTGGGGGGAGGGGTAGATGGTGTGTCCACCTATGGTGGAAGTGGAAGATACTGAGAACTCTAAGAAGCTTCTTTTGTAAAGGCCTAAGTCATACTTATGAGGCTTTAATCCTTCAGTGCATCAAGACTGTCACATGGTCAGCACCTGAATTTTTGGAAGGGTACATTCAAACCACAGCACCCGCAAAACCTTTATAACAGATCAGAACTAGGCTCCATCACTACCCCCCCCCCAAAACAAGTCATTTGACATTTAAAATCTCTTGCTATGCCACTAACCCTTCAGTAGCTACAGGAGGGAGAATGTCACAGGCTATCGACTGACAACCTATTGGTACAACAGATAATAAAAGTTTATATAGGAGTCCCACTGTCAGATATTTGGATTACAAAAGATTTAGAAAGGTAGATTGCCTTGGGGAATGATTCAAAACTTATATCCACTACTTTCTTAAGAAAATATGAAATCAAAGACAATTGGCAAATGACATGCCAGTGTGTATATCTTCCTCTGAAGGAATAAGGAATAAAAATGTAGAGAAATGAGGAGATGAACAGTTAGAGATTCTGAGGCAGGGGCTTGACGTTTTTTACTTTACTGATGTTTACTTCTCTTCCCAAATGGTTACAAATATCAATGCTATCAAATGATAACCCAACACAAAACTCAGTGCCTACGAGAAAATCCTGAGCAGAGAGGTAACTAGTGCTTCCCTTAGGTTTTAGAAATCCTATAGATAATAAATCATACAGGCAGAAGTGTTATAATTTCCTTCTGCCACCTCAAAAAGTTGTCCCAGCCACACCAGAGGATGTATTTGTTTGCCTGTTCCTCCTTTGGTAGGGTAGGTGACTTGCCCTTGGTCACCCCCAGAGTGGATGGTGGGGCACTCTTTTACAAGGGTCTAGGAATGGCCTTGGCCAACTGCATAGCAAGGTTCTTGTTGATGGAGGAGCAAGCCAGTTCTCAAGGAGTAAGTCACACAGTGTCCCATGCTCATGTCGCCTGCCTCAAGCTTTAAGTTTTACATCACTGTCACCTGGATGCATTCCATCCTGTAAGGTTTTATTACTTCTTTAGTAAAGTTGTGGTTTGAATGTGAAAGGTCCCATAGCCTCATCTGTCGGCACACTTAGTCCCCAGTGGGTGGTGCTGTCTTTGAGAGGTTGTGGAACCTTTAGGAGGTAGAGTCTGGCTGGAAGAAGCCAGTAACTGGAGGTGCACGCTGAGGTGTTACAGTCCCAACCTACTTCCTTATGCTCTCTGCTCTCTCTGCATTCACCAGAACGTGAGGTGAGGAATGCCCACCTGCACTGCGGACCTGCCTTTCTCCGTGCCTTTTCCTCCATGCAGACTATATTCCCTAAAACTGAAAAGCACTAACAAACCCTCAGGTGTTTATTATAAGGTATTTGGTCATAGCAACAGGAGAAGAAACTAGAACACGCACAAGCAACTTCACCCTTATCTCGCTGGTCCAGTGGCAGGCAGATTTGCTGACTTCATTTCAATTTCTCTGAGCACACAGAACAGTCCTGTTTAACTTAATTTCCCACGGACTTTTGCTAAATGACTCTAACTTTGGACTACCAAAGTCTCATACATCAGACAAAATAATTTTCTCTCCAGTTATGTTTAGAAATGCAAATAAGTTGTTTAAAATATATCACTCCCAGCAGAATCCTTATTGCTTCTCAAACTCATTATAGAAAACAGATCTCAGATCGACATTTTTCATTTGCTCCTCTCACTGTGAATAGGTGTAGATGGAAGAAAAGTGAGCCAAGGCCGAGATAATTCAGCACAGCCACCTCTCTGCAGCAAGAACCACTTTTGACACCACCAGCTCCTTGGTCTTTGAGCTGATTCCTATAATGACGGGACTCTCACTTAGTTCTGGGACAACACTCTTCAATCTCCTCCTGTATTGAACTTAAATTCTACTTTCTGCATCTTCCTCCCAAATGCCTCCCTTCCTGTGATCATAAACTATGGCCTCCATAAAGCTTTGCTATGGATAGCTATTTAAAAATTAAATAACCTCAGCTGTTAACAACCATCAGTTTCACACAAGTAAATTTAAAGTGTTTTGTCTTTATTTATACAGAACATGAGAATAATTATTAAGACTTACACCAAATTTGAAAGCTACGTGTGACTTGGTCTCCCTAAGAGTGTCAGCCATGTTCTATGCACGGAACCACCAACTGGGCAGCTTGGGTGAGAGTGTCTCTAACTGACAGTCAGCCAGATCTCAGAGACGAGAAACCCAGGCTGGTGTCACTGCTGATTGAGGAAGACTGGCTTTACATGTCAAGAATTCGGATAAAGAAAAGCAGATGGAGATTTCAAAAATGAAGGCAGATTGGAAATCCAAAGGGCAACCTTCCCTAGCTGCAGGCATTGATTTGTAATCAAGCTCTTTTCAAATAGCTTTGTATGTGGGCAGCCATCTATAGCATCCTCGGGGGGGCATGGCAGAGCAGTGGCTTCTTTAAAATGATGTTTAATGATATCCCCCGAGGGTCAGCCAGTAAAATAATATATGTAGAAGCACCTCATAAACTAGAAAGCTCCATCCAATGTGCAATTGTCTCACCCTGCCCTGAACTCTTACTGAAGGCTCATCATGTGTATATTATTATACTAGCTAGTGGCTGGACGTGCAATGTACTTTTTGTCTCTCGAATGAATTTAAAAAAATCCTCTCAGCAAAAGATTTATCTTGTAAATGATTTCTTTACCTCGATGATTCTGTATTAAAAGTTCATGAATTTATGGTTCAGATATAAAGTTAAAAAAATTTACAGGATAGCCAAGTGCCTGAAGAAAACAGAAGAAGTAGTAAAGAATCGTGTGCGTGTGTGTGTGTGTGTGTGTGTGTGTGTGTGTGTGTGTGTGTGCATATGCACGCCCACTTGTGAACACGTACATGTGCTCATTTCCCTGGAACTTGCCAAGTGTTTAAGCTGGCTGGCTAGTGGAAACTAGTGATGTGCCTGTCTCTGCGTTTCCAGGCCTGGGATTTCGAGGGTGCACCACCACACCTGGCTTTCTGTGTGGTAAAAGAGGGATTTCTGGGTGATTGGTTGCAATGAAAACACTCGACTGTTTGCACTGTCACCCCAGTCTGGGAGAACTTTTGACTGAAGAGAGACTGTCTTTCCTAGGGGCAGTGGCATGGTCTCCTGACAGAAAACATGACAAGTGAAGTTAGCTAAGGCAAACAGACAGAGCTATAGTTCTGGCTATGTTAACAAAGATTCTAGCCAGAGGCTGGGAAATGGAAGTAGACACCCTCAAAGGCTTCTCTCAAATTAGTAGATGGTTTTTGAACCAGCAATAATGCATCAATTAATTAGAAGATACCAATGGGCCCTCCAAGAAATTGGTAAGGAGAGTGTCTCCAAAAACTCAGACACAAATGTAACTGGTCGAAGACCGACATGGACCCATAAAAGAGTACACTGCTCCTCTCATTTCCATTGCACTCAAGGCTCTGACTTCTTGGGTTCAAGTACTGGCTCTGTCACTTGTGACCCATAGCACCAGATGTTTCCTTAATTAATAAATATTTCCTTTTCCTTGTTCTAATGGGATCAGCTTCCAACAAGATCCGGCACATGTAAAGGCTTTGTTCTGTGCTTTTTTTTTTTGGTTTCATAATCCGGCCCAATTTCTAGAAGTGTCTAAGATAAAGAATACAATGAAATTACTGGTATATTTTGTTTAGGTTTCAGAGCTGTGTATCTATACTTTAACTCTTTTGTGGGTTTGGGTGGGTGTGTATGATAATGTGCACACACACGAGTTTGCAGTGCAGGCCAGAGAATGACAACAGGTGTTTGTTTCAATTGTTTCCCACCTGATTTTTTTTTTTTTTCATACAAGGTCTTTTATTAAAACTGTGAGCTGCCTATCAGGGTGCAAATCCGAACTTGAGGCTTTCATGCCTTCCAGGCAAGCACTTTACCGGCCAAAGCATGAGGTTCTACCTTCTAACATGGAGCAACTAAACTGTATTTCATGCAGTTTCCAAGACAGGGTGAGGAGAAGCAGGTGTTTCTGAAAAGACAAACTTTACAACACACCTTTGGGGTCTTCCTCATAAAACCTGCCACTAGCCACCTCAGAGCCAACTGCCAACTCTGTAGCAAAGACATGACCAGGTTCTGGCGAAATTCAGAAGTGTTTTCTCAATCCCTGCTCTGCACCCCCCCCCCAAATTTCCCAGGCATGCCAACCTTCTATGAAGTCTGCAGCTGTGTAAGGACGCTGGTGTGGGCTGCTCTCCCCAGGGCTGTTCAGACTCTCCAGGGCTGATTCGATCGCCTCCACCAGCTCATCACGCTTGTCCCTCCTCACTGGCTTCTCCTCCGGGTGGCGCGTCAGGCCAGTCTCCAGCTGGTACACTTTCTGCAGGGTGAAGCTATCGAACGGCACGGCAGCATACTCGGTGGCCAGCTTGACCCCTGCATGTACCTCGGCCTTGTCCACCTGCCCACGCAGAAAGGCCAACAGGTCGGCCTGGGCTTTGGGCTCAGGGTCCCAGCCTGCGCGCAGGCCGGTGGCATCGCTGGCCTGGTCCTGCCCACTGCGGAACTGTTCACTGCGTGCCTGCAGTTCATCCTTGAGCTGTGCGATCTGTCGCTTAAGGCTGTTGACGTAGTTGCGATGCTGCTCCTCCCGCTCCTGCAGCACCGCTTGATAGCCGTCTTTGCCCGTGGGGCCATTGGCCCGTGGCAGTCCCAGCTGCTCCTGGTCGCCTTTTGGGGTGCAGGCTAACATGTAGAGGACAGAGATGGCACAGCAGAGCAGCACCAGCAGAATCACTACCCGAGAAATCCACCCCAGCAGCCCGCGGCGGACCATTGTCACTCAGGGGCGGACCATGCGTCCAGTTCATGCAACATCCCAGGGCACCAGGAAGGCCCCACACCAGGGCTTTCCTGGTTAGACCACAGCGCTTCCCAAGTCCCCCGAAATGATTTCATCCATTAACTTCTAGAACATGGCCTGCCTTCGGAAATCAGCCATCACACGAGACCACTCCCCTGCCTCCAAGGGAAGATCTTCTAGGCAGAGACAATCAGTCAGATGGAACCCATCTGTTCCCATCACAGCCTTCATGATATGCCGACGTTGAGGGGGATCTGAGAAGACATAAAGGACAGGGTTCCTGAGTGTTTCCATTCAGACATGAACCTTTTCCATTCAGGACTCCTTTTCACCTGAAATGTTTTCACGTGATCCGGAGTCTATAAGTATATAAAACAAGTCAAATATTTACTGGTTAGAAGTCATACATTTATATTAAAGCAATTCTTTTATACACATTTAATTTGGACATATATAGAAGATTAAGCAAGTGTGCATACTAATTACATGGATGTGGTTATTTGACATAATTCAGTCTTGGCTGCATATTTGATACTTCGGGGCATCTCGTCTTCATCGTCCTACAGAACTGATCAATATGTTGATTCTATAATCACCAATGCCAAGAAAAGCACTTTACATAATGAAAAGCAGAACTCTTAAAAAAGGTTTTTCAGAAATAGTTGAAAATGCTTCCCTGATCCCAAGTCAAGATTTGCTTACCCGTTATTTATGAAACACAAGTGAAAAACTCCCATACAAATTATTTAAACCAAATATTTCAACACAATCAAATCCAAAGATACACTGACTTGACACTTAAATTCTGAGGAGTAACAGCAGGAGAGAACTAAAAGTCCTGGTTTACTACCATCAAGACGGACACAAGAGTGGGAAGTTCACACGCACGGCAAAAACATTGCAGTTCATAACACAGCTCTAGACCGAGGTGCTTGGCCATGGGGTGGTTTGACGGCATGTGGACTGCGCAGCAGACACATGTTGGATGAAGGCTGCAGTGGAACCGCCAGCGCAGCCTAGCGGGCGTTCCTAGAAACACAGGGATTCACTGTGCACCTGGTTTTGAAGTTATTTTGGTCATTGCATGATCAGAAACTTTACTCTTGCTGAATTTCTCTTGAACCCCACATTCAGTGGCATAAAGTTTCAGCCCATTGCCTAATACGACGAGGGCTCACTCCATACAGCAATCAGTAGCCAACTGACCCCTCCCACAAGATTTATGGAAAGTGTTTATGGCAGACAGTTAAGTCTGAATGTTTTTGTAAATCAGAACATGAGTGTCCATCAAAGGAAACACAAAAAGATGAGTAGGAACCACTGCCCAAACCAAATTGTACTTCTGTTGAGGATTGAGACTGGTTGTTTTACTTGTCTCTGTTTTTCTGTATAACTCTTTATAATGACACATATTTTAACAGTCAATAGCAAAACGTCAGTGACATTAAAATTACTAGCAGCACATATCTCCACAAGTGCTGGTCCAACAAGGAGAGGACAGCAGTCAGCTGTGCATGCTCTCCTCTGAGGCAGGCCCAGTGGCCATCAGAATAGCCTTCTGATGAACAAGTATGGAGATATCTAGAAATTCAAATTGGCAAGTACAAAATGCCGATGGTAACACAGCGAGAGGGATCTGTGGCAGCTGTCCCGTCAAATCTCCAACCATTCTTGCTAGTGGCAAAGACGGCTTTACCACAGAAAGGATTAGGAGAAGAACAGAGATGAGACGAGGTCTTGGCAGGAGTCAAGTTCTAGGCACGCCTCTTCCAGCCGATCTGAGGACCTCCGCGTCTTGCCTGGCCATCAGCAGTTCTTAGAATGCACTCCAACATTCAATCCTTGTAATAAGGGAGGAACAAGACTGACTCGTCATCGCCATGCCCCCAAGGCTACCCTTCCTCCCTCCTCTAACATAGACGTGTCTTCACACATATGTTTTGAAGTCTCCTTCCTTTTTAAACATCTTAGTTATCACAGCTATAAATTAATCAATGAACCAATAAAAATTGATCAAATAAGTATTTTGGTTTAGTGCTATTTTTCTTAAAAGCTTCCTGTATGTATCTTTACCTATCGGGGCTCTTGGAATCAATGATAGCCTACATTTTGCCATTTTATGAAAATGGCATTTTAAATAATCCCTAAAATGATAAAATTATTTATCATTATTACCTAACCTCAGCAATCTAGGTTCTGGGCCAATAACCACTTTTTTTTTTTTTTTCCTAGTGTTCTGTCCCAGTTTTGATGAGAAGGAGTCCGGACAAATCTCACTTTTCAATCTTCTTGTGGAAAGAGGTTCTACTGTCATTCTCTACACTCAAGGTAGGATGATGACCCAGGCTTACTGACCTGTCCTGAGTATGTCGTGTACCTGCTTGCATTCTGTGTTCACACATGGGAGGTCCTCTCCCACTGCCCACGAGACAAGCATCTCACCAGTCTCTCCACACCACCAACATTATTTCTCCACTTTCTGTAAAAGTTTAACATATAGCATTTTCTAGTATTTCTCTGGCCCCAAGGATTCTCTCAACTATAATTTAGAACAATACATAGTTATTAGCACAAAGTTTAAAGTGCATACTTGCTCTTGGAAGCCTTTTATGTCTGATGAAAATCTCAGAATTTGTATAATTACTATAATTCTGTGATTAAAACCATCTTGGTTTTGATGTTCAGGCACCTTGCTGTTTTTAATGAAACCTCTCAGATGAGCTCATTATATCCGAGTATTAAATTATCTGTGAAGACATGTTATCACATTATTCTGTCATTTTAAAGACTTTTATTTTAAACATGTTGTCATTACAAACAAAACAAGAAAATAAAAAAATGGAGAAATGTAACATTCAACACAATTTATTGTGCTGTGGAAACTTAAGAGATGCAATCATGCTAACAAATTTTAATGGAATAAATGTTACATTTGCATAATGGATTGAAGTCATGTTGGTTTAACTGAAGCTATGCATTAAGACTATGCTTAAGAAAATTAAAACTAGGGTGGTGGTGGCACACATCTTTAATCTCAGCACTTGAGAGGCAGAGGAAGGTAGATCACTGAATTCAAGGCCAGCCTGGTCTACAGAGCAAGTTCCAGGACATCCAGGGCTAGAAAACCCTGTCTCAAAAAAAAAAAAAAAAAAAACAATGGCAAACAAACAAACAAAAAGACTAAGAGAAAATTAAAACTATAGACTATCTTTTCTATCCATAAGTCCTTTTTTATAAAGATTAGGTATTTTGGTGAGATGGTTCAGTGGGTAAATACACCTTCAACCAAGCCTAGTAAACTGATTGGGATCCCTTGGATCCATGTTATAAAATCAGAAACAAACTTTCTTATATATATGTACACATGCACACAATAAATAAATGTAAATAAATAAATAAATATTTTTTTTGAAGTCTAGTTAACGTGGCTTTGGAAATTCACTAGGTTATTTGGACTTCATTCCCCAGAGAAATCTTAGAAAAGGAGCCAGTGGAACCAAGCAATTTGGTAAAAGGAAATAAATATGGTGGTGGTGGTACATGCCTGTGATCTCAGCACTCAGGGAGGCAGAGGCAGGTGGATCTCTGTGAGTTCAAGGCTAGTCTACAACGTGAGTTCAGGACAGGCTACATAGAGAAACTCTATCTTGAAACTCACACACATACACATACGAAAAGAAAGAAACTTTTTAAGTTTAATTTTATTTTTAAGTCTTTACTTGTGTAAAATCTATTTTCTTTTCAAATGAGTTAGGAAACTTTAAGCTGTCCAAAATTAAAGGTAATAGTATTGAGTTTTTGTTTGCTTGTTTAATTTCTTTATTTTTTATTACAGTTTACTCACTTTGTATCCCAGCTGTAGGTCCCTCCCTTGTCCCCTTCCAATTCCACCCTCCCTCCCTCATCTCCTCCCATGACCCTGTCCAAGTCCACTGATAGGGGAGGTCCTCCTCCGCTTCCATCTGACCCTAGCCTATCAGGTCTGATCAGGACTAGCTGCATTGTCTTCCTCTTAACTTTTATTTTATTTTTTAATTACCACACAAAGTAACAGGCTTCAGTATAATTTCATTAGTTAGTTCTGGTTGATTTCCCCAATCACTCATCTCCCCACCTTTCTGCTCCTCTCCTCACGTCGGCTCCCAATACTCCCCTTCCCAGCAAAACACCGCATATGCTCTATCTTTCCCTGCCCCAAATCCTCATTAAAACCTTTTTAAGTCTCTACACTACCAAAAGTAACATACAGGTTCAATTTCTATCAGAACTCCAATGAAATTCCTCACAGAATTATGGGGCGGGGGCAGGGATCCTAAATTTTGTATGGAAACAGAGACCACTGATGGCCAAGCAATCCTAGGCAAAAAGAATGTTGCCAGAGTTATCACAACACGTGACCTCAGAGAGTGCCCAAGACAACATAATGCTGGCATGAGCACAGACATGCAGGCCATGGAACCATAACTGGACCCAGAAAATAAACCCTCACAGCTATGGAAAATTGACAGTTGACAAAATTGTCACAAACATCCACTGGAAACCCCCATCTTGTTTAATAAACGATGCTGGCAGAACCAGATATCCACATGCAGAAGAAGGAAATTATACCAGTATCTCTTACTCAATTCAAACTAGACTAAAAATATTAACTTAACATGGAATGCCAAAATAAGTAGAAATAACCATAAGAAGAAAAAAAAAACTTTGAAACACAGGTACAGGCAAAAACTTTCTGTGTAGAATCCCAAATAGGCCCAAGAATTACATGAAATTAGAAACTTCACAGCAAAGAAAATTCTCAGCAGACTGAACAGACAACAGAATGAAAAAACAGACATTTAGAAAAAAAAATATGATGCCAAAAATTTCTGCCAAAGATTCAGCATTTTTTTTTCTTTGTGAACTGTTGGGAGGAAACAATAAATACATCAGAAACAGAATTCTGCATCCTTTAACAGACAAAAATATTTCCCAATGTTTCTAGCCGTCTAGTCTGTAATCAAACATAGTAACTGGTGATAATAAATCTTCTGTGTGCTCCTTCACATTGTTGCTTCTGCGGAAAACCCAGACATTTTTACTTAGCCCTACATGATGCCGTTCTTGCGGTGGGTGCCACTTTACCAGCTTTGCCATGATCAGAAAAGACGCTTCGGTAACACATAGGTAGACCAGTGAGGCTGGGAAGACACACGATCTCTTGTCTTGACAGAGGAGTTGGGAAAGTGGATTTAATGTGTATAAAGTATTTACT